CTCCAAATGTCATAGGCTGAGTAATGAAATGCAGTTAGGCCACTGACTGTACACAGTAAGTTTTGCCCCACCACTTTTGGAGGTCAACCTTACTTGATATCAGCCTCCTTGTCACTGGTTTACCCATTTAAATTCAACCCCTTAAAATTCCAGGCTTATTACATACCAAGGCTTATTATTAAGTAACTACATAGACTTCAATGCAAACTGACTGAGCTATTCTTAGGTTATAGAAGTGCACACCAAAACTTTGGTCCTGCTGGTGAACCCTAGCCATTTAAGGGGTTAACCAATCAGGTCGCTGGTGCTTGCCCAAAAATAAGTTCCACAATCCGTGTGCCAAAATCAAACAATCTTAACTATTGTTCTATTTCTTGTCAGCCTTTATTAACAGCTGCTCGAGCTGCAGGAACGATGTGAACATTTGTAAAGTGTAAAATGTTAAAGCGGGCAGATGTGCATACAGTACAGTACTGATATGCACTGAGAAAAACTTGCTCTGGTGTTTAATTCTCTTGTAAATTAACACGGTTCAGTTGTTTTGTGCGAACCTGCACACAGGTCCAGTGTCCACACGCTAGAACAGAAGTTTCAACAGGTTTGCACCAACCCAGGTAGACCTGAAAAGCCACCCTAAAAGTTCTACAATGTCATTGGCTTCCACCTCGCTGTGGGGCAAGTGTTTGTGGACTATTGGCGCTATCCAACCTCTCTCCGACCACACCACCAACCCCTTACCCCCAAACCCAGATCGTCCATTTGGCTCAATCACAGGTCCCAAAATTTGCAGTTATGTTAAAAAATATATTTGCAGAGATGTTTAAAAAGGGGAAAAAAAGAAGTGTAAGAGATGGATGTGGACTGTGATTTGGAGCTGCAGTGCATCACATCTTCACTGAAAATTCTACACTGGCTTTGGTCTTGAGATTTCTCCTTAGTTTTGAGGGTATTTGTGAATCATTTGAAATAGCCAAACCTCAGTCTACCCACCAGGCTTTTGGATTAGTGTTGTCACAATAAACAATAATAATAAACTTTAATTTATATCTGCTTCTTTGTCATTGGTTCATCGATTTGAGTTACCACTCACGTCACTGATGCTCGGCCAAAAATATGTTCTGATCCATGAGCCAAAATCAAACACATCTCTTCACTATTATTTAATTTTACAGGTCGTGGTGCAGAAACGAGAGGAGATGCGGGTCTGTAAAGAGTGAGACATGAAAACAGGCAGATTGTGCTGACTGTGTTCCCACCAGCAGCCAGGGTTCATTTGAAAGCGGACCGCAATTCAGTTGTCTGTTACAGACCCGAATACGAGTGGAGTTTTTACAGCTGTGAAAATGGAGCGAACTAGGAAAAAGTCTGTCCACATCTAACAAAGCAGCTTGAGGCTAATGTAGCTAACAAGTAATAAATTACTTGCTTATTAGCATGCCAATTAGCATTGTGCAAGATGCAAGTAATCTCAAATAGACTTGCTCATGTGGTTTCTAACGCTAAATGACATACAGTTTTCTATGAACATGGACAAAAGTACATCATATAAAAAAAAAAACAGTGGCAGCCATCTTAAATCATCAATTTAGTCTGTATTCTGGTCCATTTTGAGGTAAGCAGAAAATTGGCCAGAAGATTTTGCTCTTTGCACTTGAGCTAAAGGCAGTAAAAAGGATAATAATTCCCCTCCACTTCAGTCTCTCTCCCTTGAGCAAGAGAACCATGGTCCATAATACTAACTAGACACTTTCACTTAGTGGTTATATTGTGCCAGATGCATAGCATTTTTTTCATTCTCAGAAGGCTCTCAAGTTTCAGTGGTGTGCAAGGTTATTACAAAGCAAGGCCTTGGTGTACAGAGAGCAGAAAGAAGCCAATTACACTGCAGTGATGTGGATTCACTCGAATCTACTGCCTCATTTCTGCTCACCTGATCCCCAGCAGACTGCTTAGAGTGTAAAACACACCAGAGGAAAAGCTTTTTCAAGGTTTAAAGACTATTGCACATTCACAACTGATGACATAGAACGTGAAAGGAAAGGTCTTTTATGTCTAAGTGGAGAAAACCGCTCAACCAGAGTGTTGAACAAGTTGTTTGGATTTTCTGACATTGATGTGTTGTCTTTGAGGGCTAAAGTAGGCCTACATATATTCTCTGCCCTGAAGGCACAGTGGTAAATGTGTACGTTTTCCCATAGTGGGGATTTAGAAAAAACGTCTTTAATTGCCTTTAATTTAAATGCCTTTAATTACAGATATGCACTTAATCTGAGCTACAAGAACTCCGACTTAAACCTACACACATTGAGCACTTTATTAGAAACACTCACTATATAGATCCACTATATAAGTGGACAAATTACAGACTATAGCCTGCTTGCTGCTACACAAATTATTAGCCCCCTCTTTACAGTATTAAAAATACCCTATTCCTATATCCTTTTATACCATATTCCCATTGGTCAGTTTCTCCCCACAGGGCTGCTGTTGTCCAGATATTATTTGGGTGGCGGTTCATTTTCAGCACAGCGGTGACACTGACATGGTAGTGGTCATGGTAGTGTGTGTGGCCAATGTTCAAATTATGCTCTGGCATTGGGGCAGGCTGTGTTGTGCTGATGGCGGTGGTCCTAATTTTGGCACTGGTCTGAGCGTCAGTGTACAAGGGAGAAAATGTGTGAGTGTGTAACATTTCTGCAAAACTACATTACAAGAAAATCACTCATTTGAAAACCAGCCCAACCTAAACTTAATATTGTAAGTGAAAACTGTTTACCCAATATTTTGTTGGCTCTGTCAGGCTTGAGTTGGCTAGCAGACTGGGACACTCACAAAATCACCCAGATGGAATCCTGTGTTTTAGCCATATCTTTAATATTTAAAATATTGTTTCTTGTCAGGTTTTAGGCAAGAAGGGTTTAACTGAATGGCTATTTAGCGTTTAAAATATACTATATAAAATGTTTCTCTGTTAGCAGAATATTTGGGAGGAGACAGGTAGAAGAGGTGGTTGATGTGGAAAGAGAGAGGAAATGTGCAAAGGAATTTCATATCAGCATTTCCAGGGAATCTGTTTTTGACACTTTTTTTCATTTTTGTGTTTTCACTCTTCTTTTTTATTTTTTATGATGTGGTTTATAAAACGTGCTAATTAACATTGCTGAATCACTGCATGTTTTGTTGATGTGCAGCTCCGTAAATTAAATGTAATAAATTTCATTTTCCAAAACAATTCCACAATAAACTTGGCTGAGCCCAAGATCTTTGCAGGCCCAACCAACGCCCCTGGTGTGCACTCTTATATTGGCCAACTCACTCCTCACAGGATGATCCCACTCAGAAAAAGCTGTCTGATGTAACACAGCAATCGCACAATCATGTGAAGGTCCACAGATCCCTTTAAAAATCAAACAATCAAACTATACAATACAGCACACTGCAATACAGGATTATCCAATGACCATAATACATAAAATCAGTTGTTACATGCATTAAATTAGAATACAGCTCTTGAACATTCAAATGGTGAACGCACACACACACACAAACACACACACACACACACACACACACACTGACCTACATCTGCTTACAGTTCAAATATGTGCACGCAGAGCCCCACACACATATGCACATTTGCCCTGCAAGAGAATTCAGACAAATGATATGACTGGCCATTGAGCAATGACAAACAATATAAAATCTATTATCACACCCATACAAACACAAGCCTGAGAAAAAGCTAACATCTCCCTACCTTTACTCAGATAAAAGCACAGTACAGAAACCAACAGGCTTTCACAGGAGAACGTCAAATCGCACATGCCTTTACTTTACCTTCAGCTTGAAATACACTTTTGCCTTGTTGCAGTAGAGCCAGAATAGAAAGAGGCAGGACAGACGGACTCTTAGGAGTTTTATTTGATTTCATTTGTTTCCATTTAGTTAATATATTGTTTTAAATAATGGACATGTTGATAAATCAGTATCCCCAGTACACCCAAAACTTTTTATTTTATTGTTATCAAGAGAGCCCAAGTAGTCTCTTTTTAGGGTGCTAAGCTTCACTGGGCTCCCCATATCTTGAATGCTGTTTCTGCTGCTGGAACAAGTGTGTGAGGCACAGCGGCATTGCTGGGGTTTTTACACACTGTGTACTCACTGGCCACTTCATTAGAAACCCCTCCCCTGTAGCTCCACCTTGCTGATTTACAGTTAAAGTGTAACTAGTGATCAACTAGTGGTCTGACCACAGAGCTGTCTGGATGTTTTGGGGTCTCTCTACATCTAGGAAATGCCCCTATGTTTCCAGGGGGCTGTTGGTCCTGTATTCCCAGTGTAAGACCTTATTGATGAATTGACATGGAAAAAAGCTTTATGTTTCCATGCTGCCTCAATCATATTTCCTCAACATGACGTTTTCAGTGAATTTTATTTATATTACTCACCTACACACAGCCCTGTGTAGTTCCTAGCCCTGCCCGCCACAATAAAAGTCCTTAACAAAATGAACAAAATGAACAAATGCTGTAGAACAAATAACCGAAAACTAACATGCACCACATTTCTTGAAACTATCTTGAGCCCAGGCATGCTCTGATGCCATAGTATAAAGATCTGAACATAGAACCCTTGGAACATATGGCTCTGTGAAGTGCTGAGAATGGTCCACTACCCAAATAATACGCAGTCAGTGGTGGTCCTACGGTGGTCCTTTTCCATTGATGGGGGCTGATAAAGTCTGTTAAAACAGTAACGTCTGATAAAAACAGTAAACCTCTGATAAACTGCCAGTATAGGTACAAAGAAGGTGGACATAAGCTGGGAAGTTAAATAAGACTTGAAATTTAAAATGAATGGCAGAGACATCACAACGTTTTAACACTTCTTTGAAGGTCTTGCACTTTGTTTCATTACATTGAAACAAATTAGGCCATAAATCTTTACAGGCGCTTCATAAAACCCCTTAGTGTCTAGTGCATAGTTCCTGTTCGATCCAGCTCGTTCTGCCAGTTTAAGCACAGTGGCCTCTGGCTGTCTGCTCAAGTATTGTCAAGACCAGCCATTTTCGAGTTTTTGGGGAAAGTTCAAGCTGCAGAAACGTCACTGGAGTTGTTGCAGCAGCTCAGCTGGATCCAGCAGCACTGGAGCTCAGACAGGGAACTCAGACTGGATCTCCTACTCTCAGCAGAAGAGCGCACGGAAACTTTTCGCCAGCATGAGGATCTTTAAAGCTTCTGCCTTCAGACATTACTTTAACAGCTGCTTACACAGTAAACACAGCCACGCGCAGGAGCACAACTTCACTTTCGCGCGATTAATCTGCTTCCGAGGGCTGGATGGGTCAGGGTCACGTGACTGGTGGCAGTTGGGGTTAAAAGTGAAGAAAGGGGGTATTTTAACCGTAAATGGGGGGACACGATGGGTCAGCTCGAGGGCAGCGCGAGCTCAGACGTATGAAGAGGCGTTTAGAGGGGCGCGAGACGAGCCCGAGAGATTCTGGAGCGAGGCGGCGCGCGGAGTGAGCTGGTACACGAGCTGGGAGAAAACACTGGACAACACACACTCAGTGTTCCCCAAATGGTGAGCGGGTGGTGGGGTGTGTATGTGTGCGCGCGCGTGTGCAGCGCTTATGGAGTCCCAGAGTGGTGAGAAAGAATGTGTGTTTTTGGGAGTGAGAGTGTGTGTATGTGTGAGGGTGTTTAGGGGTTCTTTTGTAACAGATCCCCTAAAGGATCAACACGAGTCAGAGAAAGTGTGCTTCCGAGAAACTGATGAATATTTGGTGCGCTTTAGCGACACCCAGCGGCGCCCCAGATCAGCCTGTTTATGTTGATTAAGCCAACAGTTTCCGTTTGAAGTTCTTTAGTATGATTTAATTTTTTTAAGTACACCACAGGTGTCACCCAGTATAGTACACTTCTACCATTAGATCATTAGCAACAACAGCACTTTATCCAGTTTTGATTTTCTTGCTTATGTGTTCTGGTAATCATGCTGCCCTGCTGGAAGAAAAAAAAAAAAAACCTTGGTGAAACATGGTGATGCTAACTGACCTGCATATCAGCATTCAAAACACAGCATAAGCTGGTTTTGCTACTAGACAGCATAACATCTTCAACTGCTGCTGACCAACATGGGCATTAGGCCGTTTTAGCCCCCATTCCTAAGTAAATGTACATTACTAGTTCAAATAATCCATAATTTATTCTCATTCATTCTTCATAATTCGACCGTGCCGTCTCATCTCCAAATTTCTCAACATCCTGTCTATTAAAGCGCTGCCTTTGCGGTGCTGCCGGAGATTCACTAACGGTCGGGTGAAAAGTGGAACTCCCAACTCGACCAATCATATCAGACCTCGTAAGCTGTAAGCCAATCATGTCAGACCTCGTAAATTGTAAGCCAATCACGTCAGACCTCGTAAGCTGTAAGCCAATCACGTCAGACCTCGTAAGCTGTAAGCCAATCATATCAAACCTCGTAAGCTGTAAGCCAATCATATCAAACCTCGTAAATTGTAAGCTAATGATATGAACCTGTGAGGACTTTGACTGAAAGCTCAGTAAAATGAACACTAGAGCTTATTAAACAAACTTTAATATACCGACTGAAACAGTGAGTAGATAACTTATTGAGTGAATATATCAGTCTACAATATGGATGTGTGATGAATTATGATCAGTATAGCTGGCTATCAGGGTTTTATTCGGTTGTTTGTTAGCTTTGGGTTAATGTGAGCTAAAGAAAAACGGCTAGGCTAACGCTAACGGTAGGTAGCTAGTTGAAGAATTTGAAGAAACTTCATGTCATCGTGAGAGTGTGAGAGTGAATGAGCGAGAGAGACATCTTTGTGTGTGTGTATATGTGTATATATATATATATATATATATATATATATATATATATATATAATTTATATTTCTCTTCAGTATTTAGAAACACACTGACGTCAGTGTTTGTCACGAAACGTTGTTGTTGTTTACAGTTTTCAGTGGAAAGGTCGTTTAACATTAATGCTGATTGTAACGCAGCTTTTCTATCCTTCAATTCCTCAACCTGTAGATGGAAGTTAGGAGGTGGGAGCTCCGTCGAAGGCCAGTCAGATGAGAAGATTTTTTACCAGTTTTAAAAAAATGATCTCTCATTATTTTCTTGAGTTTAATAAAATTAATGTATTACTAAACACAGGAAGAGAGGTAGAGAAAGAAGCTGAAGGAGACTGACAGGACTGAAGGAGCAGATCTGATGAAGGTTAGTGATCAAGAAGAAAGTGAGGGAGAGTTGTTGCTTTCAGTTAAAATTAATTTTATATTTAATTGGACTGAGAAAATATTTGTCACTATGACCGTGCAGTTCTGTCACCAGCTAAATAAACGTTCCTACAGTGCAAAATCACTCTGATTGCTCCAACTGGACCTGGACTGATCTATAATCTGTGTATTTGAATAATATATTTAGCAGCTTATCTAAGAGAGAGAAGATGGCATTGCTTGACTTGGGTACCTTTGCTTGTTCTGTGCCTGTTATAAGTGGATGAATACAGTGTTTAAGTCATACTCGCTCTGCACTTTATATAAACTACAAAGTGACAGATCTACTGTGTGCCAGTTGAACCAAATAGCCATTTTTTGATTATTTTTTTTGGCTGTTACGACTCTAATAATTCATGATGAACAAACGTTTTGGGTCTATTAAAAAAAATCTTGGGGGAGTCTCCCTTATCCATAAACCTAGTGACACCACTGCAATACCCAAAACACAACACAAAGGCTGAGGTAATCAAGATGAGCAAGTGTGTGTGAATTAAATATTCCTCTGTAGTTTGATAATTCTGATGGGGCATAGAGCAAGACAGCAGAATTACTTTTAGAACCTCGAACATACCTCTGATACAGCAAGGCAGTGTTTGCCAACATTTGTGTTATTGTTTTTAGGGATGCACAATGATATGGGCATCATATTGGTATCGGCAGATAAATGCTTTAACCCTTGTGTGGTGTTGATGTTGTTGTTACTCAGTGGGTCTGGTGGACCCACTGCATTATTGTTTTTTTTTTTTAAATCAATACAGAAATCAATACAGCCATAACACATTATCTAAAAATACCAGATGTTTGAAATATCAGTGTCCAGTGTAGTGTTCTCCTTTAGCAGCTGTAGCCAGTCAGCAGCCTGTCCATGTTGTCCACCCTCACACACACATATACAAGATCTACACACACAGATACACACACATTAACAGCAGGCCATGTAGGAGGAGAACAGAGTGAAGGGACACAGCACCTCCACACTTTTATTCCTCACAGGTTCACCCCAACACCACATGTGTAATATAAATGTGTAGGGGGTTTACAGTGTGAAGTCATTGAAATGTGTTATTTCATGTGTTCTTCACAGAAAATGAGCAAAGGACAAGGACTCTGGCGTTGAAATAATAATAAATTGCATCATTCAGAATGCTAATCCTCTGCACATTCATAGGTTTTAGATAATTAGTAGGAAGCTGTAGATATAAATAAAGACGTTAGATGTGTCCAAAAATTATGAACAGAGTTGTAACTGATTTTAAATAAAAAAAAGGCTTGTAAAGTGCTAAATCCATAAAAAGGTAAACAAATGAAAAAGGTTTGCAGCACTTGTATACTAATTGCAAAATATTTGTTTATTGGACTCTGTGAGTCTCTGTCGGTCCATTAAACAAATATTTTGCAATTATTGTATGAGTGCTGTTTGAACCTTTTTCATTTAATAATATTTACATCCTGACTGACTTTTTTATTTTCAAATGTTTATTTGTGTGAATCACTACAAGTATGAATGTTTGCATGTGTATGTGACAGTGTGTATATGTACAGTGTGTAGATGTTTGTTACTGTATAAGTGCGGTAGAACTCGGGTATGGATGTCTGTGTTACTGTATTAGTGTGTAGAACTCAGGTATGGATGTCTGTTACTGTATTAGTGTGTAGAACTCAGGTATGGATGTCTGTGTTACTGTATTAGTGTGGTAGAACTCAGGTATGGATGTCTGTGTTACTGTATAAGTGCGGTAGAACTCGGGTATGGATGTCTATGTTACTGTATAAGTGTGGTAGAACTCAGGTATGGATGTCTGTGTTACTGTATTAGTGTGTAGAACTCAGGTATGGATGTCTGTTACTGTATTAGTGTGGTAGAACTCAGGTATGGATGTCTGTTACTGTATTAGTGTGGTAGAACTCGGGTATGGATGTCTATGTTACTGTATAAGTGTGGTAGAACTCAGGTATGGATGTCTATGTTACTGTATTAGTGTGTAGAACTCAGGTATGGATGTCTATGTTACTGTATAAGTGTGTAGAACTCAGGTATGGATGTCTGTGTTACTGTATAAGTGTGTAGAACTCAGGTATGGATGTCTGTGTTACTGTATAAGTGTGTAGAACTCAGGTATGGATGTCTGTGTTACTGTATAAGTGTGGTAGAACTCAGGTATGGATGTCTATGTTACTGTATAAGTGCGGTAGAACTCAGGTATGGATGTCTATGTTACTGTATAAGTGCGGTAGAACTCGGGTATGGATGTCTATGTTACTGTATAAGTGCGGTAGAACTCAGGTATGGATGTCTGTGTTACTGTATAAGTGCGGTAGAACTCGGGTATGGATGTCTATGTTACTGTATAAGTGCGGTAGAACTCAGGTATGGATGTCTATGTTACTGTATAAGTGCGGTAGAACTCAGGTATGGATGTCTATGTTACTGTATAAGTGCGGTAGAACTCGGGTATGGATGTCTATGTTACTGTATAAGTGCGGTAGAACTCGGGTATGGATGTCTATGTTACTGTATAAGTGCGGTAGAACTCAGGTATGGATGTCTGTGTTACTGTATAAGTGTGGTAGAACTCAGGTGTGGATGTCTGTTACTGTATAAGTGTGGTAGAACTCAGGTATGGATGTCTGTGTTACTGTATAAGTGTGTAGAACTCAGGTATGGATGTCTGTGTTACTGTATAAGTGTGGTAGAACTCAGGTATGGATGTCTGTTACTGTATAAGTGTGGTAGAACTCAGGTGTGGATGTCTGTGTTACTGTATTAGTGCGGTAGAACTCAGGTATGGATGTCTGTGTTACTGTATTAGTGTGGTAGAACTCAGGTATGGATGTCTGTGTTACTGTATAAGTGCGGTAGAACTCGGGTATGGATGTCTATGTTACTGTATAAGTGCGGTAGAACTCGGGTATGGATGTCTATGTTACTGTATAAGTGCGGTAGAACTCGGGTATGGATGTCTATGTTACTGTATAAGTGCGGTAGAACTCGGGTATGGATGTCTGTGTTACTGTATAAGTGTGGTAGAGTTCCGGTATAGATGTCTATTAATGTGTATGTGTGGAGTTCAAACGCGTAGGGTTAAACCACATCAGTCCTGCCTGCTGCTCTCCACTGCTACTGGCGCCAGGTTTTTTACATCACCAGGGAGATGTCACAGTCAGTTGTAATGGGATCTGATACGCCCTCACAGTTCAGGTAGTAGCTTGGAATTTTTGGAGCATTTATCTACTATGGTATTAATTTATATATATTTCTTGAATATAACATTGGTAAACATGTATTCCGTGGCTTTCTTTACACAACATTTTTAACCATGTTGATGGGGGCTTTTAAACATATTTCTATTGCTGTCTGCATTTACCAGTCGTTAATGTAGTTATCATTAATGTGTATCCTACTCTGTGAACAAGGAGGCTATTAAAGTATTGGTATCAGGATATTAACTCCATATTATTATGTATTGAAGTATAAAGAAAATCAGGGGTATCCAAGGGCTCATCCTTCTTTCATGCTGGCAGTGTATCATTTATAACTCTTCCATCCTCTGTCACAGGTTTGTTGGGGGAGAACTGAACATGTGCTATAACGCTGTGGACCGTCATGTGGAGGCAGGGAGAGGAGATCAGCCGGCTGTTATTCACGACAGCCCAGTTACTGGAACCAAACAGATCATCACCTACAGAGAGCTGCAAGATCAGGTACAACAGGCCGGGGCTGGATTTTCCAAAAACATCTTGGCACAAATAAGATTCTTAAATGGTTTAATGAGCATCACACTGAACAGTCTCTCTATGATTTAAGATGATCTTAACACTTTGATTGATTTGGAAAACTGGGCCAGTTTTAAATAGTTTAATGCAAGTTTTAAATCGTATCTGAATTGCAGTTAATGAACTGTGTGTATTGTCTTGCTGGAAAATATTTTTATCGTTTGTTGTGGTTTTCCTGCTCTAAGTGAACAGACGGGATAAACACATCAAAAACAGGTTGCTGGTTTTATTCATCAATTCATCACACATACCTACTCAAACACACCTTAGCTGCCTTCAGATATCTTTCTCGTGTGCATCTACAATGACTAAAGGAAATATTTCTGAGGACATTAGATTTAAGATGGTCCACCTGCATAAGGAAGGGAAAAGACAGAGGAAAAGTTTCCAAAACTAGAGTTCATCAAATCAGATGAACAGTACTTGAAGCTTTCATCTTTGGGAGATAACAGTGTTTGCTGCTGCTGCAGCTGCTACTTTGGATTTTATGAAATGTCATGAAGTCACAATTGCAAAACTCTGCAAAGGGCATAAATTTAAACAATGAGAGAAATAAAAACAGAGAGAGGAGAGAAGAGAGAAAGCTGAATGGAGCCTGACTAGATGGCAAAAAATGCAAAGCAACAGAATGAACATTATATTCTACGTATGTTCTATGTGTGTACTACGCCTAAAAGATTTTAAAGAATGTACTTGAATGTAACACCTTTTTCGTGAACCAGCATTGGTTAGTAACTGTAGTGGCACTTTATTTCATATCTTATGTGTTTTTTCTTAATTGTCAGTGAACTGTGCTGGCGAGGGTTGGGGGGTTGTTCGAAAGTGGGCCTGACACCGGAAAAAAATCCTAGAGGAAACTATTCGGTGAAAAACATGCTCCGCTCTTGCTTCAAATGTGAAAAAATCCACAGGTTCTTTCACTGTGAGAAGACAGCTCAACGCTATGGGTGTGAAAGGATGTGTAACTGTTTCGAAGCCCTTACTGAGGAAAGGAAAAAGACAAAAAAGAAACTTTTCAGAAGAACATCGAAACTGCACATCCAGACTAATGAGTCTAAATTTGAAATTGTGAGAAGCAGAAAATGCAACCAAGACTGAGCTTTGGAGGAGAAAATATCCCTGCAGATTTCTTTAAAAAATCTGAAAGCGAGTCTCCTGAAAAGAATTGAAGCTGTAACAGAAGCGAAGCCTGGACTAAATACTGAAAATTTTGAGATTATATTTAGATGTTGAGGATTCTGTGTAATTTTCTGTTATATATAATATTTTTTGCTTTTTTGTGATGCTGAAAAAGACACTTAAATAAAAAATTAAATAAATGAACAGTTTTGTACAGTACTGTATGTATGTATGTATGGTGTCAAATATGTGTGTGTGTGCGCGTGCACACAGGTGTCAAGGTTGGCAGGAGTGCTCGTGAAGCATGGAGTCAAAAAAGGTGATCTGGTGGTGATCTACATGCCAATGATTCCCCAGGCCATGTTCACCATGCTTGCCTGCGCCCGCCTTGGAGCCCCTCATAGCCTAATCTTTGGGGGCTTTGCCTCCAAAGAGCTATCTATCCGCATCGACCATGCAAAGGTTAGCTTCACTTCACAGACCCTTAATCAGTGGCTATACATACATTGACTAGCCTGAACAGCTATACACGCACTGATTACACGTACTGATTGTCCTTTTGATGTGATCAAACTGCTTTCTCTTGCGTTTTTGTATTGCTGTATTACTATTACAAAAACAACAGAAATAGCTAATAAACAATTTTTACAATTTTTTACAGTATGGAAAAGTTTGAACGCCCATAGTCAAATGATTTTGTGAAAATAAAATAACACATGCACACTTTGGTGCACAATTTCTATTTATTTGCCAAGTTTAACATATTGGAAAAAATAAAACATAAACTATAATATGTGCCATATCCTTTGTGGGGGGGGGACATATAACCAGTGGCGAACTGTGACTATTAGAGCTAGGCCTTCAATTTGGGCCGCAAATGTCAAAACTCAGTCAAAACATTTTGAAAAACCCACCTCAACGCTAATTCTAACTTCTGCCAGCATCCTTATAGGATTCTAGTAGTTTCTTATAGTAGCAGATTCTAGTAGACTTGCTTTTACACTTGCTGATGAGGCGGAAGTTAGCTTCCATTCGAGTTTTCAATTCCACTGCATTTAGGCACCAAACTGTAACTGCTGCACAGTATAAGGTGGAACAGAAAATGCAAAAAAGGTACTTCTCAAATAAGCACAGACATCTTAAGCTTTTTAAAGACATTACATGTTTTATTTAATGCTTGTGACAGACATATTAGCATATCCCTTACAGAAAAGTCACACAGACTTCACATGTGAATAAACGTGTTCATGTAAAAAAATTTAATAATGTGAAAATGTGTTCACATATGAAAAAAAATTTAATAACTGTAAATGTGTTTTTTTGCAAATGTCTGTTGACTGTTCTGTAGGGGATATTTTACCTTGTAGCTGTTTTACAGTGAGTCTGGTATAGCGCTGCTGCTGTTATTTCCCATTTCTATCAACCCAGTGATTAAACTGCTGCTCAAATTCAGTAAGTGAAGTAGCTAGGACTTCAAGAAGGCTTAGAGTGACATTTTTCTACTTAGATACCATGGAGAAAAACAATGCCTGATTGGCCAGTTATTTATTTAGCATTTGGAAGAATTTAACCCTTTTGTTTCCATTAAAATTGTAACAGTAAAGTAAGACTAGTACTGTAAGATTTGCAGAGATTAAATACATGCATAGTTCTGTGGAATAAAATTAACTAAAAATTACAGACATGGATTTTTAGATTTTGCAAATTGTTAGGCCTTCTTTGAAGACCTACAAGGCCCAGAGTGTTTTCCCCTGCATATGACATATAACAAGAAATAGTCAATGTCTGTGTTGTGCTATCCTAACGCTAATGTTAACATTAACATTGCTTTCTGTTGCAGCCCAAGCTGTTAGTTACATCATCGTTTGGCATTGAGCCAGGTCGGAGAGTGGAGTATATTCCTCTGGTGGAGAAGGCACTGGAGCTCAGCAGCTACAAACCACACAAAGTCCTTATTTACAGCCGACCTGGGATGGTGAGATCCTCACACACACTTGAGTGGCCTCATGCGCACTCCAATAACTTCATAACGTACAGGACCTATTGTACTTTATTTGTACTGCAGTTTCAGTCCAAGTTGGACACGTTCTGCCTGTGTGTTTTGTACAAAACTGGTGCAGTTTATGGGCTGCTCTCATGGAAAACACAGAATTTCTCTGTCATGCCAAAACATTGGAGGATCACCCAGAAAGTGGGTGGAGATGTTACAAGTGTGGCTGACTACATATTCTGCTCGATTTACTGAAGTTTGAGCAACTCACAGCAGCTGATTTTGTGATGATTTTTCAGGCAGAGATTTGCATTAGTTTCTCCAAAGTGTGCTGTTGGTAGATTTCCTGTAACAATGTCAACAGACAAGTGGCTAGATAGGGACACGAGCCTTAAGCATGTTCTAAAAGAATATTTATCAACACTGTTATGCTTTTTCAGCTCTCAGGTTCATGGATGTGTCTGAGAAGACATAGTATAAAGTATGCTGTCACGTGGCTGCTATATGCACATGCATTCACTTCTATCGCTTCTTAAAGTCGGATTTCTTTTCCAGACTAAAATTACACCCCTGTGGAATGTTTTGGTGGGAAAGAACACTGCAGTCTTTTCATCAAGGAACTTTCATTTTGTCTTTTGTCTCGAGTTGTTGATGACTCAGGTGGTTCACTGCGCCTTTTGAACCCTGTACCTCAAGAGCTACAGAGTGCGGCCCTCTGTGCAGCCTTAGTAGATCAAACATTAATTTCAGACACATTGCAAGTGCATATTATCAGGGTATCAATCACAGTTTGTACTGCACCAGCGCTCATACATACATCTGGCCCCCAGTCTCTACAAACTACAGCACTGAGACCCTCACACACACTCCAATCTCTAGAAACTACAGCACTCAAGTCTGGGTACAAGTCTTTTTCTGAGGACTGGGAAAATTCTGTACTGGCGCGCCTTTTCACCTTTAACGCTTTCCATTAACACCTTAAACTCTAGAGGTCTGTATGTGGGTCCACACTGCGATTCCTCACTCTCATAAATAGACAACTTGCACAGTAGTTTCATAGTAGTATACTGAGTAATTCATAGTATATACTGAGTAATTCATAGTAGATACTGAGTAACTCATAGTAGATACTGAGTAACTCCTCATAGTAGATACTGAGTAACTCATAGTAGATACTGAGTAATTCATAGTATAAACTGAATCATTTTATAGTATTTAGTGATTCATTTATGGTAGTTACTGAATAATTTATAGAGCAGGTACTGAATAGTTGATAACTATTCAATTCATATAGCAATAGGATTAAAAACAATAGGATCTATGGTTGTTTCAGTTAGCTTGTCCTGCTGGTGTTGTGAGAGAATGAAAGAGTATATTTGTCTTTTTCTTGTGTATTTGTGCTTTTCAAGTGCTTGTTTTGAAGCTGATTTGTGTGGAGCCCACGTTAAGGGGGGGCATTCATTTTGCCGTAGTGCAGCTGTCAATTACTCTAATAACACTGCCACTTCGGTTTGGCCACTGAACTGAATCTGAAGCACCTCTTAAAACCAAAACACACAAACACACACAGATCTATCTATGTCTGTTATATTTGAAAAATCAAGCATACACAGTTTTCCCCCTTAACCAAAGTGTAGTCCATCAGCCAAGACATGTTTGCTGTCTGAAGTATGCTTCTTATTTTTACACTGTAGCTACAAGCCTAATGTAGTTGACAAGTAATGGAAGCTTATTTCCTACTAATTAGCATGGTACTCACTGCAGGCCTAAACCATTAAACACTCACCCCACATTGTGTTGAATAGTTAGGTAATGTCATATAGACTTACTTATGTGGTTTCTGACACTGTATGACACACTGATATCTATAAACATTGACAAAATTATGAACAAAATCCCAACTTCAAGGTGCTGTTTAAAGGTATGCCAACATACTTTTGTCCATGTTTATAGATGCGTCAGAAACCACATATGTCAATTTGAGATGACTTGTCTTAGCTGATTGAGTATCTTTTGGGGTAAAATTTTGTAATTTATGTAATGTCACGTCATGGGGATTACACAATAGGGGTAAAACAGTTAAACAGCTATTTCCTGGGTTGTCATGGAAACTATCAGCAGAACTCTGTTCTGTAGAGTGGAGGTCAGGGGAAGAGCTGGGTCCTAAGTGTGTATGTACGTGTGTCTGTGCAGAGAAGAGCACAGCTCCTAAATAGAGCAAACTGACTGCTGCATTATAAGTATATAGCTACATGTGCATATAATTAAATAAATACAATAAAATTAATGACAGAATAAAATAATTAAAAAAACCAATACATAACATACAATACATAAGTAAATAAGAAAAATTATTGCAGTGTTTATTATAGGTAGTTGATTTGTCCTGTATCATTTTCCCTTTCCATGTGTTAATTTAGGAGAGAGTGTCCATGTCCTCAGGTTTAGGGCTGGACTGGGATGAAGAGATGACCACTGCTCAGCCTCAGGAGTGCGTGCGTGTTCCTGCTGATCACCCTCTGTATGTGCTCTACACCTCCGGCACCACCGGCACACCCAAGGTAAATACGCTCTGCACATGCACACACACACCATCACATGGCTGCATATGATCATCTCCTCCATCAGCCTGGGAGATTCTCCTCCCATCAAAAAAGGCATTGTACATTGTATTTGTACATACATTTATGACAACCATTGTGAAAGTATCATTTGACAGAACAGGTCTTCAGGACATGTCAGTTTTCTCTGTCACAGCAGAACTGAAGCAGTTCTCAATATTGTATTAATGAAGAATCACCAACATCTGAATTTCTTTCTCTTAAACTTCTCCTTACCCCAGAAAAAAAGGGAAGATTAACATTGCCTTATCATCATATGCAGAAGTGTGAACACCCCCATGTTTTGTTTTAACACATCCTCTACAGAGAACTACAGAGAACACACTTGAATATACCATTTTACTGCTACTTTTAATGCGCAGTTGAACATATTGATTAAAAATAAAATGCACCATAACTTTTGTACGGGCCACATTTTGTTTGATTCCTCAATATTTTAAATTCAGCAAATAAAAAGTAACTGTGCATTGAAGTGTGCAGAAGTGTGTTCTCTGTAGGATGTGTTAACTTATTTTCAGTTAAATTGGGTGGGACAAACTGGACTGTGAAAGATGGATTGACATGACCCCTCAAAGTGTTTATTTACTGAAAGATTGCTTAAAATGGGTCAGGTGTGTGGTTTTCTCTTCTGACTTGCATCTTTAGTGCAGGGAGGGAGAGTGGAGCTGCAGCCTCACCACAGGGCTGGAATACACAGCAGGACCACACGCAGCTCGCACACACACAGCTCAACATCAGCTGATACGAAATATCTACCTAAGAGGAATGTGCCTTCCTATTAGAGTCTCCTCTCTGACTGTCTGTCTGTCTGTCTGTAGGGTGTAGTGAGGGATACAGGAGGGTATGCAGTAATGTTGAACTGGACTATGAGTAATGTGTATGGACTGAGTCCTGGTGAGGTGAGTCCTGTAACTGTAACTGTAGCTCAACTGTGTTGGACTTGTTTGAGTCTGAGCCAGACAGTTTAATTAAAGCAAGTCTCTCTCGCTCTGTCTGTCTGTCTTTCTCTCTCTCTCTGTCTCTCTCTCTCTCTCTCTCTCTCTGTCTCTGTCTCCCTCTCACTGTCTATCTCTCTCTCTTTTTCTCACTTTGTCTCTCACTCTCTCTCTCATGTTTATTCTCTCTCTCTTTTATTCTCTCTCTCCTTTTTTCTTGGTTACTTTTGTATTTAGTTAGTTATTTATTTACTTATTTATTTCTGCTTTCTTTTTTCCTCTAATTTTTGTTTGTTTGTTTGTTTCTTTCTTTCTTTCTTTCTTCTTTCATCACCCTCTCTCTCCCTTGCAAACATTCTCTCTTTCTTTCTTTCTTTCTTTCTTTCTATATTTTCTGTCCCATTCCCTTAATTTCTTTTTGTTTTCCTTTGTTTTTTTGTCTATGTCTCTCCCTCTTTCTTTTCTTTCTTTCTTTCTTTCTTTCTTTAGTCTCTCTCTCCTCTTTCTCTTTTTTTCTTTCTTTCTTTATTGAATGAAAGTTTCAGTATAAATAAATCTGTGTTGCTCAGTGTTGTAGTATTCTGATTGTACTGGCACAATAAAGATGTACACCCCCCCCCCAGGTTTGGTGGGCCGCGTCTGATCTCGGCTGGGTTGTTGGTCACTCTTACATCTGTTATGCTCCACTTCTCCATGGCAACACCACTGTGCTGTACGAGGTAGGTGTGTGTGTTTGAGGTGCTGAATTGCCAGCTGGTCTTGCTATCAACAGATCATTTGCTGTAGTGAAGTGCTGGGTGCAAACACTGAAGATGACCTTTGCTCTCTTTCTCTTTTACTGAAAACCTGGACAAGCTGACCACTTCAGAATATTTTTAGAGCTGGATGTGGTGATTGTACATGGCTATCTTAACTTATCTCAGCATTTGTTCCCTTAATTGGGTATTTGAATAATGCAAGAGTAGTATGGAACAAACAGATAAGTACTTTATATATCATCTTGTAATTTTTTTCCATTTTTTGTTGTGTTCGGCATGTTTAGTCGTGCCCAGTTCCCCTCACTAGCTAGATCTCCCCCAGTCACACCTTATTACTAGCACCAGGAGGTTGAAGGCCCGCACATGCTTCCTCCGGGTCATGTGAAGCAATCACTGCATCTTTTTTTTTCAAACTGCAGTTAACCCAATGTCATTGGACAGCTCAGTGCACTTGGAGGGAAATGCTACCTGCCAATTCTGTAATGGCAGCCAGCAGACTCTGTGCTTCTTATCATTGTGCAGGGTGATGAAGGGATAGTCCACCCAGAGAGAGTGAGGCCTAGGGGAGGTACAATGGAAAGATTTCCGATAAGGTGCCCAGGGAGTGTACACAATGTGTAAAAAAACCCAGCAACACCGCTGTTCTTACTGAAAATATTAACATTAATATGACAAGTGGTCCTAAACTTTTGAACAGTACTGTATGCCCTCTAGTACTGTTAAAGTTCAGCTGTATGATTATTGGAGTCACTGGTCTCTAACCAGAACGAGAATTCTCACTGTGAAGAATTGACTTCATTTGCTCTTGGTGTGTGGTGATTTGGCTTGAGCTTCGTCTTTTGTCACGGTGAAATTGCTAGTAGCTTCTTCAGCACTCATTAAACAATGGTCTCTCTCTCTGAGCAGAGCTGGAGGTCTGGACCGAATTTATTGTCCTTCCACTAATCTGAAGTGCTCTGTCAGCCAGTCTCAGTATCAGTCTTATCTAATTTTGCAATTTTGCTGTATTACATACTATGCAGACTAAATTCGGGCTTCAGGATGCTGCTACTGTATTTAGCTTCACTAATGTACTGTTGTCTGTGCTTATAGATAAGAACAGTATGTGTTACAGTAAGCCTATTTGAGATTACTTAAGAACTTCACAAGGTTTGAGGTGAGTGTGTGATGATTGTTCAGAGTATGAAAAGATTATTTATGAGCAGATTGAGGAATACCTAAAAATAAGTCAAAATTTAACGTTTTACAGTTTGAATTCACAAGAACCCACTATACAGAAGTGTGTTTGTTGCATATAACTGACCTTATCAGAAAGGTGGTAGATTTTTTGTGGTAGGTAATTTTTGTGGTGTGGTTGATCAGAGTATTTTGCTTTATGATCTAAAAGGGTTAGTCCTCAGGCCTGATTGGCACTGCGTGGTGTGAACGACGCGGAGAGTCTTGCTTTTCATTTCGGCACCCATGTTAACTGGTCAGCGCTTTCACACAGGTTTTGTGTACAAAGTGGCAGAGCGTCCACTGAAGTAGCGCAGTATTTAGAGAATCTCATGCTGCCACTTCGCTCACACCACACAGATGTAGTGTGTGCGAATTTGGCCTTAGTGAGATGGACCTTTATATAGATTGGAAGTAAAATCAGTAAAATAAAAAGGAAGGTAAAGTGAAAATATTAGACAAATGAAAATACGAAAAGGTTAAAAGAAGCAAACTTTCCACACCTAACATATTGTGGTTGAGTTTTGAAGTAAGAGGGTTAAATTGTATAAATGTGATTTTTCACTGAACTGTTTCCTTAATTTGTTGCTTAGTGATGGAAATCATTGTGCAGTGCTGAAGATGGCAGTAGCTTCAGTAATAGCTGGCCTGTTGGCTTGTTCCTTCCGCCTCACGTACTCCCATTTGGCCCATCTGCTGAAGAGGCTACTCTCCAAAACATGCAGACATCCATCAGCACCATCTATGTTCACAACCCACCACCCAGACATCTTCAGTGTAGCAAAACACAGTTCACAATTGTTGGGGTTGAAAATGCTCTTATTTACTAGCAAGAGAGATCTCCAATGAAATATTAAAATTAATAATAAAAAATTGACACATTTCCAAATACAGTTGCTTACATTATAGTGCTTAGTTATGATAAGTTATATGATAGTTATAATATTTACAACAATACTATGATAATGTAGGCACTGTGGTAGTATTAACAATATTTACCTACAATATTTCGTACACATTTTAAATTTGGAATTCTTTCTTAGAAGACATGGATGTAGTGCGCTGATAAGGACCTCATCTGTCCTGTTTTTAAAGTGTACTAGGCTGCTGTTGTGTGTGTATCCATGTGTTTGCAGCACGGTGTGTGTGTGTGTCTCTGTAGGGAAAGCCTGTAGGGACTCCGGATCCTGGAGCGTTTTTCCGTGTAATGTCTGAGCATGGAACAGCTTCAGTGTTCACAGCCCCCACTGCCGTCAGAGCGATTAGACAGCAAGACCCACATGCAGCCCATGGGAAACGGTACTCACTCAACAGGTAAACACCCAGCTGCTCTCATCAGTTAAACATTCACCAACCTGTCTCTCACCTGTAGGACTGCAGTGTTTTGTCAATGACATTGATTACAACAAAAATACTGTGTAATTTACTAAAGAAACACGCTTTAATGCTCAGTAAGGTTCATACAATATGATATTGAATATGAGATTGTAATACACTACAGGAAGTTATTCTTTTACTGCACAGTAAAAGAAGAAATCACTTGTTGCACAAATGGAACTTTGAATGATGGTGGCAGCAAAAATAAGAGGAACACCGACATTCTGTAACAAACAATATTATTTTCCTGCCAGATTCATCATTCTCCATCAATTACCATCAACATCATTCTCTAACATCATTGTCCAGCATGATCTGCATCGTTGATAATCTTACACTCGCTATATGGAGGACCCTGGAGACTCCAGCACAATATCAGTGTGAAATAAATAAACAAATAAGCGCGAGTGTGAATTCCCTCAGGGACTACAGTACACACTAAAATGAATGTTAGATTAAACATGGCATCTTTTCAGCGCAGGGTTAAGTCATGCGTTTTGTCTTTCTTTATTTAATGAGGCTTTTACGATGATTATTTTTTACAGCCTGAATGTAATTAAACAAGTTAAAGTGGGAAGCATTCACATTGCGATCGCCATTAACTGCTTCTGTTATTGTAAGTCCTTTATTGGAGAAGATTGAGCGTGCACAGAGAGGAAATTACATTTCACCTCCGCTGCCTGCCTTTTGAAATGATCACACTAATGCAGTATGTGAAAGAGTAGATTGCAGTCAGTGGGAGGCTGGCGTCTTTCCTTCGGAAATAAGAAAAACGTCATTATGATTTAGCATGGGTGCATGACTTTTGTTTTTGCTTTGCCCCCTGAAAGGCTTCTTATAAACCCATCCCATAATTACATCATGAATAGATTGAGTTTTGCTGCTAGGGGTCAGAAAAGAAGCCTAAAGATATGATGCAAAAAAACAAAAAACAACAGAAGGTACTGCAGTATTGAACACTTTTAGAGGAAATAAAGACACTGGCTGCCCTTCTTAGCATCGACATGCAACAGAATTTTACAATAATTTCTGTTTTGAGTGGTGTAAGCCAAGATTATTCTGAAGACTAAGACTCTGGAAAGACTGTTTTTGTGTCAGTTATGTGATATATGTGTGTGTGTGTGTGTGTGTGTGTGTGTATATATGTTAGCCTCCTTTTAACCTGTGGTTACCTTCAGTGGTCAGGACCCCCATGGACCCTCACAGAGCAGGTACTATTTGGGTGGTGGGTCATTCTCAGCACTGCAGTAACACTGATCTGATAGTGGTGTGTTAGTGTGTGTTGCGCTGGTCTGAGTGGATCAGACACAGCAGTGCTGCTGGAGTTTTTAAACACTGTGTCCACTCACTGTCCACTCTATTAGACACTCCTACCTTGTCAGTCCACCTTGTAGATGTAAAGTCAGAGACGATAGCTCATCTGCTGCTGCACGGTTTGTGTTGGTCATCCTCTAGTCTTTCATCAGTGGTCACAGGACGCTGCCCACAGGACGCTGTTGGCTGGATATTTTTGGTTGGTGGGCTATTCTCAGTCCAGCAGTGACACTGAGGTGTTTAAAAACTTCAGCAGCACTGCTGTGTCTGATTTGGTCAGACTCTGAAGATCAGACTACACATTTGGCGAATGGTATTCGGTTCATGTCTGGCTAATTCCAGGTTGTTTAGGTGTTCTCCTGTCACAGCTCCCGACTGAAAAGCTTGCTCATTGGTGATAACAGTTTCGGAATTTAGTGTAAGGAGCTGGAGAACGAGCTGCCAGCTGTGCAATGAGAGAGCAGAGCTTGTTACTTTGACGTAGCAACAAGCTGCTTGTTAAGGAACTATAATTTGGCGGAAGGAACTGCTAACATTAAAACATATTAAATGCCACGTTCACCGACCCAATTTATTTATTTCTTACTTTATTTAACTGTTGTATAAAAGCAATAGAACACTCAAGGTTGTGTGTTATCGTGAATAACACGCTCCCTCTCGTGTTCTATTGCTTAAATATGTGTTGTAACACAGGTGGCTTCTTAAACAAACGTATCTGCCTTCCACTGCATTGCACAGTCCAGAATGATGAACAGGTGCTGGATTCTCAAAACTTCATTGAGGTTACTAACAGGAGAAGTCCTAACAGTTTTTGATCCTCTTAACCCATGTGTGACTGCCAACCATCCTAGTGCATCATTCTCAACAGAAGTCATTCGAAGGGAGCATAACACTGGGCTAAAACTTACAGGGAAAGCGACATCTCGGCTGTTTTGCCCTCTACTAGTGACAGACAACATTCCAGGAAGGGTACAGTCATGGTTAGGCCTGGACCTGTCCATTCTGATCACAGGCCTCCTCAATCAAATGGGTACCGATCATTTATTAAGCTGTATTTAAGTTACTGAAACTTGATTTGAATTTCATTTTTTGAGTGCTGTCATTGCATTATGGCCAATCAAAATCTTTACACTCTCCACATCATTCTTGAATGTGCAAGATGTAATCTAGTTTACCAATCTCAAGCTCCTTTTCTTAGCCCTCCAATTGCTGCTTAGCACAGCGTTTCCCAATCCTGATCCTTGAGGTGCTGCATTGAACTGCACATTTTTGTGTTTTCCCTGTTCTTAACACATCCAAAAACCTCTTACTGAGTTGAGGTGGGTGAGATAAAGCAGGAAAAACACTAAAATGTGCAGGACTGTGTGCTTCCTGGACCAGGGTTGGGAAACACTGGTTTAGCAACCATTGCTGCCTGCCGTTGCCTCAGGGCTTCAGTTTTTTGTCATTGCACCAGTGTTTGAATTTGAAACTCCCCTCTCAGTAGGGTAGAGAAGTTCTTAAACATTTTCATGCTCACCGTAGCAGTATGCTTCAGCCAGGGGGATTTTGATGGGCTTAGAAAGATCCAGGGCTCAGCCCAGTTCATTGTAGAACCGTTTTGGGATATCGTCACCACGTAATCAGGAAAACATGCAGCTTCTTTATTATTTAATTTGAAGAGTTATGCTAACCATACACTAGGAGACTTTGAAAATACTTTGGAAAGACTTCTGAAAGACTAAAGTCTGACACTCAGCCCAGTTCACTGTAGAACTGTATATTCTGGCAGATCATCACCCAGAATCTTTTTTTTAATTAACCTGTAAAATGTGCAGTTGCTTTTTTAATTTGATATAAAGACACATTTACACATCAACACAACACGCAGCGATTCAGCGTTGTTGACTGGGTATTATGAACTAAACCGTAAGAAACAAACAAAATAAGCAACCACTGTAACAGAAAACAGAAAAAAACTTTGATGATTCTTCAGTAACGCCATTCTTGAAGTCCTTTGCAAATTTCCACACATCACTGTTACAGGTTCAGTGAACCTGAAATATTAAAACAGCCAGTTTACATTTTAAGTTAATATGATTATTGTATTAAAGTGGAGCAGATTTGCTGTTTTTACAGAGATTTCAGGCACTCACTCATGCATTTTCTTTCTCTCTCTCTCTCTCTCTCTCTCTCTCGCCCGCAAGCACTCGCGTGCCCCTGGCACGTCACTATTTGCATGGGCCAAGACTAAAAACCTACGATAACGTTAAACACAGTTGAATTTGTTGTAGCGTCAAGACGAGAAAAAGACTTACTTAAGACGGCCATCTTGACCACCTTACACTAAACGATCAGATGACACAAAGTGACTCTAACAAGACTCTCATGATTTTATTCCGACATTGAAAATTTGTCCCTTGAAAAGTCGTTTGGTGTAAGGTCGGCTTTACACATCAACACAACCTGCAGTGATTCAGCAGCATTGATTTGTGTGTCTTATCCACAAAATCATTAAAAAAGCAAACAAAAGAAGAGTGAAGAAAATAGAAGAGAAAATAAAAACGTTTCCCCGTTCTTAAAGTCCACTGCACATTTCCTTTATCTCCAGATCTACCAGCTCTTCTACACATCTCCTCTCTAATGTCTTGCTAATAGAGGAACATTTTGTCTGTAGCTTTTAAATATTTCAAAGGCTAAATAGTCATTCAGTAAAACTCTTCTTTGCTAAAATCAAACTAAGCCCTCCACCTTTATTTTCAAATGAGTGATTTTTTTATGCACGTTGTAAAAAAAAAAGATTTTGTAGTTTTAACTTAAAGTTGTAAGTAACTTGGCTGCCTTAAATTTTTATGTTCTGTAATGTTACAGAGTGCAACATTTTTCTGTTAACTTACTATTATGCATTCAGTGTACTTTAAATTTTAAAACAGCAAGTGTACTTACTGTCATAAGTTAAAATTATTATTGTTTTACAGTGGAGTAGATTTGCCTTTTTACAGAGAATTCAGACACTCAGGCATTTTCCTGCACTTACTCTCTTTTATGCACACTTTCTCTTTTATTTGCTATTCTCTCTCTCTCTCTCTCTCTCTCTCTCTCTCTCTCTCTCTCTCTCTCTCTCTCTCTCTCTCTCTCTCTCTCTCTCTCTCTCTCTCTCTCTCTCTGGGTTTGAGGAGTCCGTCAGTGTGCCCCAAATGAAGCCAGGGATGATGAGAGTCATGTGTAATCAAGCTGGGGTGAAATATTTATGTTCTAAGGTTCGGGGGTTGGTTAAAAAGCATTTGGGGCTATAACCCTGGAAGCCTGGTGATAAGATGAGGATGATAAGATTTACGTTTACATTTATGTTTTTTTTGCTGTTTTATTTTTAATCAGTGTCTCTGCTGTCTAATTTGAACCGTAATATTGTCTTCACTGGGTAAAAGCTGTGCCTGTGGTGAGCAGATGCATGCCTTGTAGTAAAGGGTGCTGCAGTGTTTGTTAGGTTTATATGAATCTTGCAATCTGGTTGATGTGTACAGTCTTTCTATTGTTTTGCATCACCATAGGGTGGAAGTGTTCGGATAGCTAGACTGCTACCAACAGTAGGCTGATGCTGTGGCACTGTGGGACATTAGCACGTTTGGAATTGTGTCTACCCC